ATCTCTGTATAATTCCAGAGTTCTTTCTTCCCTCTGGTCCTCTGTACTGCCGACTCTAATTGTCTTATTCTCTCCTGACTCTCAGCTATTCCTTTCAACTTGGAAATTCTTCCAGGCTTAGGTTAGGTTACCTTTCCTTGTGCTGTGGTCTGGAAATTCTCTCAAAGCTATATGGTAGGGTAATTATGGACTCAACTGGCTTGTTTTGCTATCTCTCAGTGATCTTTACCTTCCATAATCTAAAGTCCAGTGTTTTAAAACCTGTTTTGTATATATATTTTGTCTATTTTTGGTTGTTTTGGGTGGAAAGGTAAATTTAGTACTGTTACTCCATCTCTCTCTCTCTCTCTCTCTCTCTCTCTCTCTCTCTGTGTGTGTGTGTGTGTGTGTGTGTGTGTTTGTTGGTACTAGGGATTGAACCTGAGACACTCTGCCACCAAGCCTCATCCCTGTTTTTTTTTTTTTTTTTTTTAAATCTTGAGACAGGTTCTCACTAAGCTGCAGATGCTGGCCTCAAGCTTGTGATTCTCCTGAGCCATCTTCCTGGGTAGCTGGGATCATAGGTGTGTTCCAGCATGCCCAGTGTGTTACTTCATCTCAACCAGATGTGGAAGTCCCACAAACTTTTTATGAAATCATTTTAATTCCAACATTTCTCTTATATTCTTTCACATTCTACTTACCTTTTAATTTGAGTTATGTTCTCAGGTATGTAGTTCTTAGTTTTCAAGTAATTAAATCTACCAATTAATATTTTAAAAATCACCACCACTGATTTTAGAGATGTAAAATTGTTTCTATGATCCAGATAATGTAGATATTCACTTATTTTTCTTACAGTTTGTCTCATATTTAGTTCTAAAATTCCTTTTAAGCTACAATGTGAGATTTTAATTTCTTTCTCTCCCCAAGTCGTCACTTTTACTAAAATAATATTTGCATAACATATCCATTTACATGTAATGCCTCTTTATGTATTTTAAGAGTTCACATATTCTAGGATTCAGTCAATTTCCATTTTTTATCTATCCATGTTAACTATTATAATTTTAGAATACATTCAAATAGCTGAATAGGCAAACTTTGCCTCCATATTATTTATTAAAATATTATTCTTTACTTATCTTGAACCTTGGAACTTTTTTATCAAGACTTGCTCTCTGCTCCTTCCTTCCCAAAATTAACTCCAGTAGAATTTTGGTTGGAATACACAAACATCTTTAGATTATTTGATTTGTCCTTCAGGAATATGGTACATCAATTAATTTTTAAAATGCTTTCATTTCATTTTCATCTCGTTATGGTGCCAAATCTACTACATTGTTTAGAATTCCCTTTCTTCTAAGGCCACAGTGGAGTTTAACATTAGCAACAATCTTATCTTTGGGGAAATTTACCTCACTGGTGTTTGGGAACTTAGCATTTGTTCTATGCATAACTCTACTCTAGTCCCTCTTTCTTGTTCCTTCTCAAATAGGAGCTCTGGCATTTCCTGCGGTCTCGAGATCTCTGCTTTTTCTTTTCTCTCCTTCCTCTCTATGGACAGAACTCCAAGAACAATCATGTCACCAGAATCTGTTTTCAGAGCCCCTGTCTAACCAGCCTTGAATTCAGACTTTCCCAGAAGAGCATCCCCCACTCTGGAAACATTGTGCAGTTCTCTCTCCCTGATGCTTTCCATTTCCATTTGCTTAGACCTTCTAATGCATTCACACATTCAAACTGCAACAAATAGCGCTTTCAGAAAAAAATATATTTTATCAGTTATTTTTGGGATTTTTACAGAGAACTCTCATCTTAATCTCCATCACCCTTCAAAAAATGAGTCACTCTATGTGGAATTTTCTAACAGTGCTGTAAGCAGGGTGGGAAGTTGTGGTAATATTTTCTTCACAACACCCATGCTAGTTTTGCATTAATCAAGACCGACAAGGAGACAAAACCTGCTTAGTAGTTTGAATAGGCAGGTTAATATAAAATATTATTAGCTTTAATGTAGTAACAATGTGTTGGCTGCTAAGAAGGAAACTAAACTATAAATAGAGTAATAGCAAACATAAGAAACAGCAAATTAACCCCCTCCCCGTATAGAAATTAATGCTAAAGGAAGTGGCCCATCCTTGTACCCACAGTTGAGATTCAGATCTTGTGGTTCACTGGAGGAGTGGCTGTTGTGCGGCCCTGTCAAAACTTGTTGAAAATCCTCCTTCTGGGCTGGGGATGTGGCTCAAGCGGTAGCGCACTCGCCTGGCATGCGTGCGGCCCAGGTTCGATCCTCAGCACCACATACCAACAAAGATGTTGTGTCTGCCGAGAACTAAAAAATAAATATTAAAAATTCTCTCTCTCTCTCTCTCTCTCTCTCTCTCTCTCTCTCCTCTCTCACTCTCTCTTTAAAAAAAAAAAGAAAAGAAAATCCTCCTTCTAGAACTTTCTGGAAATCAGTGCTCTTTAAGGTACTGGGGAAAGCTGTGGATGTGCAGCCTCATTTTGCAATGGAACTGTATAAGGAGGGTTGCTGGGGGAAGCTACTGGCTCCTGAGTGCTGCTGACCACTGGGCATTGCAGGAGACAGATGCTGGAGAAGTCATCTGAGCTGCTGGAGTCTCCTGCTAGAGAGGAGCCAGCAGAGAGAAGCACACTGGAACCTTCTTTTTACAATATCACTCTAGTGCCCTCTACTGACAAAGCTTAACATTTGGCTGGTGGGTAGAGAAAAAGTATTTAAAGAGCCCAGCTATATTTTCGCCAAGCAGCCAAAAAGGGTGAATTTGGAGCTGAGAGGTAATAAGCTGATAACTAGCATAGGTTTTCATCATAAGATTCTCATAAAAGCATCTAAGCATCTTCAGTAATTTCCATCACAGAGTATGCACTCTATTTGAATCTTGTCACTTATTTTGGATCATTGTAAGGGCCAGGATGTGTTTTCTAATTAATAAATACAAGTGCTTAATAGAAATTTTTATTGCCTATTTTTTTATTATGCATTTTCTAGGACATTCTAAGTAGGCAGGTTAGCTTAATGGTTGAACCGACTTCAAAGCAGAGGGCTGAGATTTAAATATGATTCTGCTGCTTACTGGCTGTGTGTCCTTGAACAGTTATGTATTCTTACCTGAGGCTCAGTTTCTTCATCTATAAAATGGGAACAATAATAGCTCACTGACTTATTGTGAAGATTAAATTAATACAGGTACCTTCCACTTAACAGTAGTAATCCATTTCTGAAAAATCAGATTTCTGGGTTAAAAACCTGGAGCATATTTTATATTATTTTAAAAAGGAGAACTTTGAATATGTAATAAATCAACCTCACTCACCATAATCTCCTAAGCAGCAACTAAACTCAGCAAAATTACTTACAAATTACTCTATTGAGATGTAAAATCACTTCCTGATGGCAAATATTAGCATATTAATTCAGGAACTCTATGTTTCATATTCAGTAACATCTTTTTCATTGTACTATATATATATATATATATATATATATATATATATATTGTCTTTCACTCTCTACAATTTTATTCAGTGCTTTCTCAACTGTGTTTGGAACTTGTATAACACTAGGCAAAGCAACAGCTAAATATGAAAGACTGCAGGAAGTAGGTTCGGCATCAGGCAGAGCAAAGGAAAGCATCACACTAAGCAGGATGGCAGAGCTTCTCAGTATGAGCAATATCCTCTAAGATACACCCTTCTGTTGACAGTAATTGCAGTTCTCAGATTTATTCTATAATCTGATCTCTTACCATCTATATTTGAAATGGCATTTTTCCTGCACTTTTTTTTTTTCAAAAATTTTAGAAGTAACTATTTGGAATGCCATTTCCTCCAGATTGTATTTTTTTAATATTGAGTTTTTAGGATGTAAATACATATTTCCTATATAAAAATCCATCAAAATATGTCAAAATGAAGAGTCATACTTCCTTTGTCTCTTTCCTCCCTTCCTTCCCTCACAGAAATTTTGTATATTAAAAATCAAAAATTTATTTGAAAAACATTTAGGGAAAAACATTAGAACATATTTGGCCTGTAAAACAAATGTAAACGTTTGCTTTATTGTCTGATTTCATTAACCCTGTATTTTTGACATTCATTCATCCCCGCCCCCCCCCAATTATATATATTTTGAGCTACTACTACAGGGCAAGTCCCCATTGCTAGCCTTGGGATTACAACATTGAATGGGATGGTTCCTATCTTCAAGGGAAAAATAGGTGCAGTTGTGAGGTGCTGCATAGAAGGCAGGTGGGGCTGAGAGCGCGGGAGGCAGAAGGCGAGAAAACTAGCCTGAGAGGATGGCGGG